TTTAATTTTCCAGTTTTGATTTTATGAGGCTCCTTTTTTTTCTGAACTAACAGGTAAAGTGCGTTGCAGGTGATGTAGAAATTTCTTTCGATGACGTGATGAAGAAAACTTCTATCAGCAACAGAATCAAATTCAACTACTTTGCAACGATGATATTACTAAATTAGGTTTTAATGGGTCAAACCAATTTATGGCTATTTTGCGGCAGCAACGGTGTTGCAGAAGCTATAGATGTTAAGATACCATTTTTGTTGCTATAGTGATATATCTATATTTTATAGTGTATTTCTACCAAACCGCCGCCTTGGGAAGGAAGTGGTTAATGACTCGGACTGACGTACCGAAAGGCTGGGGTCCGAATCCCAGAGAAAGCATGGATGCAATTTGTTGGTCCATTCATAGAAGCAACAATGGCCCACCTATTATCTGCCTCCATAATAAAGAGACCACCGCTTATGGCCTCAGTAATGGCCGACGCCTACAAACGGCGAGAGCCCACCATTGAAAATAAAAAATGCTATCAAACTTTCGAATCTATATAAATAGTGTTTTCTCTGGTATCTAATTAGAAATGCTCCAAACATGAATGGAACGGGAAGTGAATATAGTAATTTATAGTCAAATGAATAGGAAACAGACTATATCAATTATTTCTTTCATGAACACTGAAATCAAAGTGTTGTTTTATTTACTTAAAATGCAACAACGGTACATAATTTGTTATGCCTTTGACTTAAAAAATATTGTTGCGTTAAATATTAAGAAATATTGTTACGTTTCATTCTCTGAATTATGTATTTTGTAACTTCTTTGAGTGCACAGCAGAATTCTTTCTTCTTTTAGGGTAATAGAGAATAATATTTTTGAAAAATAATATCACAGAAGGATTAACATGAGCACGATGAATAATGTTTTTTGGTTAACTGGAGAATTATGGTAAAGTTATCGAAGGCTATTGCGAAGGATGCTTTCGATGAGGCCTTTCTAAGCCGAAATGGCTCTATTCACGTTATAAATATAAGAAAGTAAAAACGTTTTACTGCTTAAAAATGCAAGCAGCAAACCAATTTTCAGTATTCTCAACTAGAGATTAATTAATTATGCCAAAGCATACCTTGGTATTCTGCCTTCAAGAGGATGCCTTGTTGTGGAACTTTTTAATGTTGGCCCATGCTTGTATTGCACGTGAGGGGAAACTCAAAAACCTTATTTGGTACGCTCGTTTTCCGGGAAAAATTGACAATGTTCAACGGTTTTACCTACTCAGCCATTGGCGAGCTTCAGAATTTTCGATGATAACTGACACATAAACATTTCATTCGGTAAAATTTGTGTGCGTATCTATGTCTCAACAGCGTCTAAGTCTCAACAACAGTAGGTTAATAAATTTCATAAATACTAAATAAGTCGTGATTTTCTATTTTAAAATTAAATATTAGCAGCTTTAAAGCTCCTGAATATATATCTATCATTCCATTCTTTTAGAAAGTCCCAAATCTTTAACGTCAGTAAATATAACAACAGCATAAAGATTAAAATATAAAAGGAAGTAAATTTTTGAATTCATTTTTATACATTTTACAAGATGTTCTTTTGTACATATTCAAACTTAATTAATTTTTAATAACGACCCATTAATTTATTTCAACAAATATTAATGTTAATAAGTATAATGAATATTCGTGTTAAACATGCAGTTACAATTTATATCTTTGTTATGATTATCACAAGATCGATAATTGGTTTCTTCAAGCTTTTCTCAAGTTTCTTTGAATTTCATTAGGTAGGCAATAGAAGGATATTTCCCTTCTACGATTTTGAAACTGTCAGTTTAAATGCATCTTGAACTGATAAGGGAAGGCACGCCTATAAACAGGTGTTTCTAAATAAACACACGTTTTTGAATAACTAGCACACTTTTAAAAAATTCTGAGATGTCGAATTCCAGACAGCTATGCATTTCATATCATACCAACGCGAAATACTAACAGTCGTTAAGGTGCATAGCGCCTGAAGTAATTTTTATAATAGTGTTTAGCAGCTAACACATAATGAAAATGCAGATGGCACTTAACTATTACTTAAAACCCGCATTTTTAGTACCCAGATGAACTCGAAACCTCGTTTTGGACATAGTTTTAAGTGAATTATAATTACATCTGAGGATGCCTAAGGGTAGGCGTAATTAAGGCCTTTGACTTCGTACGCTAAGGTCTTTCGAATTTTCAGTACTTAAGGAAAAATGCTAGTAAGAAGCATTCATTTCCATTTGTAATAAAATTCATACAAAACACAAGCTGCTGAGCTGAGTATAATAATATGCTTCGTAAGGAAAGAAGCACTGATGATAAAGTAAATGTAACAGCTAAATTTACGAAGGAAACCAAAACAATACATAGAGAAGAAATTATGACGCACTCATTAAATGGCCCGAACAGGGTCAGGGAAAAGTGCACGGAGCACAAGTTTCGCCTATTGGATTTATAGGTTTTGCTCCGTCGCGCTACTGTTCTAACTCAATATCTATCACCGGGCACATAGAGCTCCTGGGACGCGTACCGTCCCAGCAAGAAATCCGCTGCAGAATGTGAAGCGTTCTCTGGCCGCCCACACGGTATAGTAGTTAGGGGAGCCTGAAAACGATACCGAAGGGCTCGGGCTCGAATCCCGGAGAAGGCATTGATGTAATTGTCAGTCCCTTCATAGCAGGCAAAGGTGGCCCACCTATTAGGTGCCTCCATAATAAAACATCTCGCCTTAGTAGTGGTCGATGCAGGCATAGGCAGGTGCCCACCATTGGGGGGGGGAAATGTGAAGCGTTCTCATCTTTCTTCCACTGGGCGGTCCCTCCATACGGTCGGTCTCAGTCATGCATTCTGCGTTTTTTATGTACAATTCTAATAAGTTTATTTTGAAATATAAGTTGTTATTTTGATAATGTTTTTGTGTATAGTTATAGAAATTATTTGGATGTTCAATAATTACCCACAGACGCTGCTGTGTTTCTCCGCTTCACGCGATATTTCCTATACTATACTTATACTCCCTAAAACTTCAGATTTCTGTATCTGTTTATCAAAAATTACTATCTCAAATTCACGTCTGTATCATCAGAAAAAGTAATAAAAGTATTTCTTTTTATAAATTAGGTAGGCAGATATTTGTTAGGGTCTTACGACATGTATGCTTTGATCCTATGCTGGCACGACAAATAGTGATAATATCCCTTTTTCAAATACGTGCTATTATAATGTGAAGCATATTTATCCCATTTGTTTATTTATTTTTGATGTTGCTGCTATTGTGCTTTAATAGCATCTGAATGCTTTTTTAAATTCAGTTGCCATATAATAGCTACCTGGATAAGAAGAGGTTGAGGGGCTATATAGCTAGTTAAAAATAAAAGTGTCTTATCTACGTTCAGTGTTCTACTTTTAAGATCAGAAAACTATAGGTAGAAGATTAAAATATTTTTAAATTTTCGGCATATATGAATGTTTTAACATATCTTAATACCTTTTAATTAATTAAATACCGTTTATTAATGAAAATGTTAGCACTTTTTTAAATCCACAGATTTGGTACATTTGCTAGGTATAAAATCGTTCTGTTGCCGCAGAAATTTAGTACTCCTACGTGATAAAAATAATGTCACAATCCTTATTTATAGGAGTTAAGGATGAACATTCATAACGTATTTTATACGTTTATTTAACAGTATTAAAAAGACCACTTGGCTTACCGAAGAAAACGCGAGCACAGGCCACACTGTGACTGGAAGCACAGATCTTCCACTTGCTAGGTATCGTGCTAACCATAAGAATATGTAGAAGGTATTTTGATAATTCCTTACATTCTTCTTTATTTAAATGGTAACTGGAGAGAGCTAGAGACTGAGTAAGAAAAGTACAAATTGGGACGAATTATCATCGACCACATTATTACAAAATGCTCATTTTAGCATTTCAGTTCGGAAGCTACTGTAAAGATAAGTAGGCTTTTTAATTTTAAAAAGAACAAGACATTTTAAAAAGAACAAGAAACGTGAAAAGTCAGTTGTAGCCTCCCTAGAATTCGAACCCTTGATATTCCACTTAATAGCTAAACGTTCTAACCACAAACGCATGTGCAGTGTAATGCAGTAATTCCTTAGACTACAACCACATAATACAATTTTAGTTTTTCCCCATATAACCTTTACACATTGTTACTTCACTTCGTTTAAGATGCCAAAATTCTGGAGTTTTTTAAAATCTCTCCTTATTAATTATGAGAAATCTCTAATGAATTAGAAGAATTTCGTTACAATGCAGTAATGCCCAGAAAAACCAGTATTACATTTATTATATTTATACTGTATTCTTGAGGATTAATCCTAAGGCAATATACGCTGAAAGGTTACAAAAAAGAAATTATATAATTGATTTATGAAAAACTAATATAAATAAAAAAATTACAATCTAAAAATTTCAGATTATAGCCTAACATTTCAAAGAGTTTCTTATTAAAAATTAAACACATTTTTTAAATTACAAAATGAGAAAATATAAAAAATTATGATTAAAAAAAGTTACAATGTAAATCACGATGTGCCGATTTCAGTCTAACAGTTGATATGATTTTAAATCACGAAGGCCGAACAATTTAAGAATTAAGTCCTCAGAAAATGAAGAAGTAGAACTTAAATTATCTTACTTTTAACATATTTTGCTGCCACCTTTAATATCGACAGCAGAGGTTTTCTGAGATAACATTATTAATGGGAAAATATTGTAATATATAGATAAATGTTACACCGACACTCTTCCAATTCAGTTTTTTAAAGGATATTAAAAATTCTGACATAATCGCCATGGCAGTAGCCGAGTTTAATTGCTTCCATTTGCAAGTACAATTTTGATTTTATATGGAGAAATATTTTACCAATGTAATACCTAAAAAACATGAAGAGAGACTGACTATACTTATAATAATTAATAATAAAAAGATGTAATCATTACTTGCGGTTGTTCCATTGCAAGTTGCCATGCATTGTTCAAAGGTGGTAAATCTGTTAGCGTTTCCCTGGCAACCACCGTATACGAACGTTTCGCAGGTACGTGTTGAGGGGTTGTAGTAATAACTCAAGAAATACGCCAAGCACAGACCTGATTCAGGTGGCTGGAAGCACTGAGGAATATTCTCGTAAGATGGTCGAACGTACGGCTGAATGGTTGCTGTAACAGAAAGAAATATTACAGATTGGCATAGTATTTAATATATCACAAAACATATTTACCTTTTTCTTTGCTTTGAAAGAAACAGACAAAATAGTTACTTTTGATGCTAAGAAATGTATTTTTCAGTGTGTAAGACATTTGAAAAGTACTTGATGTTATGTATTATATTCTTCATAGAACAGATAGACCGTTTAATTGTATACTGATAGATTATACAATATAGTGGTCTCTTGAATTTACGAGGCCCACCAACGGCCGAGAAGCAAAGTTGCTGAACGCTGTTAGTTCGACCTGGGTTGGAAGCTAGCTGCATGAACGTTTTGTGGTTTTTTCCGCGTGTAATGTGGATAGCTTCTCTTAGAAAGTCATCCATGAAGGCATCCCTCCTCTTAGGCAGATAGCCCTAGTTTTCTTTGCTATAATCAAATAAAACGAACCTTGATTTTACAAACATTGAACCGTTGAAAAATTTGCGAAATCGCAACTCTAGACGGAAATGGAATTAAAAGCAGTAATTTGCAATCACTTTTATTTGTCACAAATTCAGACACACACATATAAAAAAAAAAGAACCCTGACTACCCCCACCCCCAAAGATTATTTTTTGACAATCATTTTTGTGATCTCTTTTAAGTACATAAACTGCTTCGTACATTGTTTTCCCTCGTCGGATTATTTTGTGGTACTGGTGCTCCCTCTTTGACCAATAATTTCACTATCGAGTATTTCTTTCACGTCTTAGTATACATTCTCGCCTACATATCTTGATTACCTTTATCAAAATAATATTTTTAATTTAATGAAACTTGAATATCGAAATGAGCAGCACTCAAATCTTGAAAAATGCCATTCCGTGCGCTAACAGATGTGTATAGACAGTAAGCAATTCATAGTATGAATAGCAGTTCGTGGCAAATACAGTGAGTCAAAAATGTATTGGGACAGAACAAGTTTGGCGACATTTTTTGAAAGAACTATTAAATATTTAATCCAAACGAAATACTTTTCATTACATGTCATTTCTAATAGCTAAATGAAATCGAAAAACCTTAAAATTATTTAAAAGTAATTAAATAAATGTTAAACTGTATACTTTTCGTGTACAAACGAGAATGTAATGGCTAGAAAAGTACTGGAACGCGCAAACATACTACAAAAACATCATAAAAATTGGTCTAATAATATACTTGGTCTCCTTTCCTTTATATGAATTTGCTGAGTCTAGGCATGGATTTCAAAAGCTTCTGATTGAGATTTGCTTCTATTTTTTTCCATTCCGTGGTGAGTTTTTCTACAAGCACATTTCTACTGGAAATTCTGCCTTTATTAATTTTGTCTTACAAATAATCCCAAATATGCTGAAGAGGATTGAAGTATAGACTAAACACAAACGCTTTGATTACATGATTTTTACAAACATTTTGATTAGATCATTATTATTATTTCTTGTAACAGATTTAGTACAATTATAAATAATAAGCAATAAAGCAATAAAAATATTTAGTTTTGGAATAATAGCTGAATGTTTTAAACTTTCCTATGCCCCAATACTATTTTTAATTATTGTATATCGGTATCGAATCACTTCTCAAATTCCCGCATTAGCTCTTTTCAGAAGCGTCCGTTCATATTTCCATTTCAAATAGTGAATTACGAAATCGAAATAGCGTTTGGGGAAAGAATTCAACCAGAGTAACACGAGGCGTATAACTTCCATATGAACAGAGTAGTTATTATACAGAAGGTCGTTCGCACTTTATGGAAAAGATTTGCGATTTAAATTTTCTAGTAAATATTTTGAAACAAAGATTTGGCATTTTTAATATAATCGTCTGATACTGTTTTGCTTTGTTTGGAACGTACAATAAGAAATTTATCTTGGAAAAGGTTCCTGAAAATGACAGATGGATCGAAGGTTACATAAATGCACTTTCCAAGGAAAAATATTCGTATCAACAAATTTAAAGCGATGTAAAATTTGAGGTTATTACATTTCAAAGAAGATGCTTTTAATAAATGAAATCTGAAAGGAAACAAACGTCTAGCTGAAAGCAAAAATGAAAACACGGCCACAAGACCGCGTCCTAAGATTGTTTGGACGCAGCAAAATATCAAGAAAGTGGAGACTTTGATTCTGAAAAAAACTCCACGAACTCAACTATTCATTGTATCGGAAATGGAAATGTCTTCTGGCACTGTAAAGAAAATTGTTCATACAGATTTGAAGTTAAAACGATATCGAAACCTAAAAGTAATTCGTTTTTGCAAATCATATGCGGAGAGAAACACAAATTGTAGAAAATTATATGAAAAACCCCTGGAAATGGAAATTTATGATAACACTCGATGAGGCATGAGTATACTTATGTATATGTAATAAAATAAAAAGATTAGTTTTCGACTGCTCAGCTAACGAGAAGGTCTGCATGAAATGGGTTCGTCAATGTAAGAAAAAATTCTCTGCTGGATACATGATAGTTGCAAGGGTAAATTAATACTACAAAAAGACTCAAGTAAGGCTGTACTATAAATAGAATATATTTTAATGAATTTTGGAAGAAGAAATTCTCGGCTTATAAGGAAAGAACATCAAGTTGAATTTCATATGCACAAAGTCTCCAGTTACACGTCTGAGTTAATTGCCGCTTATTTAGACAAAGAAAAGGAATAAAGTGTATCCAACTTAACGAAATACCTGTAAAATCATCAGATCCATCTCCAATGAACTTATTTCAAAGGAGAATTATTCCTACGAACGCGATTTCGGTTTGTTAAAACGAGCATTAAAAAAACCGCATTCGAGAACAATGGACGGACTTTGGAAAATGGCCCAAGAGAAGTGGGATAAAATTGACATGACAAGAGGTAAGAAGTTTACATCCACAAAGAAAATTCCGAGTTAAGAGTTTTAGCCAAGAATCAAGCCTATCTGACAGAAACAATTCGGAGCAAGAAATATGCACTTTCTAACAAATTAGTTATAAAAACTGTTTCTATGAAGTGTCTACAAACTTCTGTACAAGGATAATTTTTCATTTCTAAGGTTTTTCATTCTAACGGACTTTGCTTAATTTTGTCAAATTTTCAAAACTCTTTCTATGTTTTTCTTAAACTATCATTAAACTGTTAACAATGATGCATTTTTAACCAAAAAGATTTAACCTATGTTAGAAAGCTCATAATTTTAAATAATTAAGTAATGATGAGATCGTATTTCTGAATCAAATAAAAGTTTAACTGAATATATATGGTTAGAAAGTACAATATCTCTGCTTCCAAGGACAGCGATTTTTCTTTTTGTATTACTTCTCCGCATTCTATTGATTAAAAACTGTAAAATAAAGTATATAAAAATTTTTCAAGTTTAAACTTGAAATTTTAACGCCTCATAAATTAAGCTACCATAAAGTTCTTGATCATGTGTGACTAAAACGTACTATCATGGGGTTCGCATGCATGATTATACGACGATATTAACTGAAGATGAAGGAACAATAGAAATAACAGTACATATATAACTCTTTGACAATTATGATTCAAAATACGCCATTGTTGAGTATTACGGTTGCTAAAAAATAACTTTTTATTACTTTTTAGTGCATTTGATTTACACAGTGTAATCTAAATCATTTTTATATATATTATCATAAGTTCTAATCAAAACTATTAAAGTCGTATAATAAATTCTTAAACTCTGAAATAAGAGTTCTCAAATTAAGTAGCACTAAATGGCCAATTTTTAAGAATTTAAAGGAAGTTTCTCTATATTTGAAAGTTTACGCAAATTTTCCTGATATGTTTTGCAAATTATTGTGAATAAAAAGAGATTATTACGAAATACGAAAACTAAGAAGCATGAATTAACTGTTTCGAAGCATATGGAAGTATGTTTTTCATACTTATATTAATTTCGTTTAAAATTCTTCTATCTGTTGTAGTAAGATAAAATAATTAATATTAAAACCAACCAAACAATATACAGTATTGCTTTTAAATGAATGTGTGCTGTTCTACATATATTTTGTTTTCATCTCCTTCCTTCCGAAGTAAGTCCTTGATTCTTTTTTCCTTTCTACAAATTAAAAGCGGATATCCTACCAAATTCTTATCTCTCGGCACGTTCTGTCTAACAAACTTATCGCTTTTCCCTTTCCAGTATATCTAATACAGCTCATTATAATTTCTGATTAGCTCGTATGTTGATATGAAATAATCTAATACAGCTCATTATAATTTCTAATACAGCTCATTATAATTTCTGATTAGCTCGTATGTTGATATGAAACACCATTAACATGACTTGGCTTTGATGAGCAGTATGCTATTTTTGAGGCAATATGTTTTTTTCTCTCAATATAAACTCCATTTCTTATCTATGGTGCAAATTACAATTCTAGGTTACCTGTCTAGGTTACCTGATGATTTTCTCTGAGCTGAGTGAATTCACCTTATAGCCGTATAGCTGTTTTTCAGAATAATGGGAATTTGTTTGGCGATTTGGGAACTTCCAAATGAGCTGTGTAGAGAACAAACATAGAATAAAATAGGGAAAGTCATGATGTCAATGAATATGGATAGTCCTAGTTCTTAATTTGTTTTATTAAGACTATGCATAACATCTAAACGGTTTACAATTACATGGAACAAAGTTCATGAAGATGTAGACACATAGACTATTCAATTCGCCGAATAAAAATTTTTGTAGATAGATACATCCAGCACAGCAGTTTATTCCATGTTTCTTACTATTTCTTAAAATATTTTCTTTTCTACAGGTTAATTTATATTACAAGAATACATTATCTCGAACATGTGGCACAAAAATATATCTTGATCCACTTTTATGACATTGGTAACACATTCGCTCAATAGTAAACCGCATTTTATTGAGCAACACTTTATGTGTCATGTTTTATCCTCTTCTGGTTTCTGGTTTGATAACATTAACCGAAAGTTGACTTTATATACTAAGAAAGAATCTCGCTTAGTAATGTTAT